GGAGTTCCAACTGGACAAAGCTGACAAAGTCACAGGAGCAGACAAACTTATTCTGACCAGCCTGGAGGTTATCGAGTCGCTGGTATGACTGGAGGTCTGTTTTGCCAAACATGTTCAGGGTATTTGACTGTGGAAATAAAATGTGTATCATAATGGAAACACTAAGAGGATCAGAAGCATAAACATATGATCTGACTTATTACCTGGATGGTCAGGGTTTGTAGATTGGGGAAGGATAGCCCAGAGGGCAACCTCAGAAACTTGTTGCCAGAGAGATACAGTTCCCTGAGTACAGGCAGAAGTAGAGTGAAATCTTTAAGGTTGTTGTTGCTCAAATCCAGCACCTGTAAAGAATAAAGCATAAGGGAAAAAAAATAGGTTGCCAGGTCAATCTGCCAGGTCAATACATGGTCTTCATACCTCCAGGGTTTGGGGTAGACAGGGGGTAATGGCTGTGAACTTTGCCCCGGAGATGTTTAGGAATCGCAGGGTGGAAGGCCAAGGACAGCTTGAGGGCATGAAGCTGTAACCGGTCCTACTAATATCCAGGTGTGTCAGTTTAGAGAACTTTGTGACCAGTCGGCTCACGGTGGACAAAGACTGGACAGAAATGGGGAATGAAAGATGGAAAGTACTTGTCGTCATCAATCCTCAGAATTCTTGAATACTTGTAGGTAACGCAGATTTTAGTAAAGTTTCATACTTCACCTTCAGAGCATTTCCACTGAAGTTTAAAACTCGAATGTCCTTCAAAGTTTGTGTTGTACCACAAAGCGTCTCCACCAGAGTCAGGTCCGTCAGAAGGTTGTCGGACAGGTCCAGATACTGCAGGTTCTTCAGCAGATGGGATGTAAGACAAGGCATTACAAACACCTAAAGGAAAGAACCAAAACTCATCAATAAGACTGCAAAGTGGGAAGCTGTAAGGTAAGGGGAGACACTAGTTCCATTAGTGTCTCCCCTAGTATTTTCCTCCAGTTTGGATTACAACTCCAACATCCGTCCACAAGACAGACATGTTAGGTAAACCGTTGATTCTTATTTGGCCACAGGTCTGATTGTGAAAACGAATAGTTATCTGTCTCTCTTTGTTAGTCTTGCAACAGACTAGATACCTGTCCGAGGTGTACCCTGCTACCCTATAAGGTGGGATAGTCTCTGGGCCCCTGCATGACCCTGGATTAGCCAAATTAAAGAAAAATGGTGGACAGATGTAAATATTGCATGCACAGGAAAATGGGTCATCTTTGGCAATCATTTCCATTTCCATGTACAATGCAGAAAACAGTCTATGAACAAAGTATATTGTAGCAACTATCAGGTAAAAAAGTTTCATGTAGAAACTTGAAAGAACATCCAACTACCCTGCAGGCCATTATAAACATGTTTGCAAGTATCCTTAGTTTGATTTTATGTCTCCTGAAGAGGTTAACTCTGTAAGGAAAACTTAAAATGAAAGGCATGTGTTGATACAATCTATAATATCAGTAAATAGTTCAACAAATCTCTGGCTTTGATTTCAACTGCACTAGGGTCAGAGAAAATAAAAACAAGAGTTTTTAGATGAAATGGCCATCTTCATCTATGGTATGTATAAACAGTATATACAAGTAAAACTTGTAAGCTAAAACCTTTCTCTTGAATACATGCTGATCTGAAAATTATCCACATCTTCACACAAACTCCACAAAAGCCAAACTCACAGATGACCTAAAGATAAGTAACAAAATAAACAGACCATCTAGGTGTCTGTTTATGTTCCGGTAGACAGATTTGTTTTAATTTAATCTGACTAGTTTTTTTTTTTTTGTCAGCTTAAAAAAATCCATCTTCAACTGAAAACAGTGAACTCAAGGCTTTCAAAATCATAGTTGATCACTGTATGGATATCCTGAAAAAATTTCTCTAGAGAGTACACAAGCAGCATACATTACAGGGTTGGTCACTTTAGAGACTGGCACAGTATACTACAGTGGGATGCAAAAGTTTGGGCAACGTTGTCAATAGTCATTATTTTCCTGTATAAATTGTTGGTTTTTACAATTAAAAATGTCAGACATCCCGTCTAGACATCCCAAAATGTGATGTCCACATTTGTGGATGCCAGGTCCTAAAAGGTTAAATATATTGTATAGAAGACACACACAGTGATATTTGAGAAGTGAAATGAAGTTGATTGCATCCACAGAAAGTGTGCAATAATTGTTTAAACAAAATCAGGCAGGTGCATAAATTTGGGCACTCTTGTTATTTTATTGATTCCAAAACCTTTAGAACTAATTATTGGTAAGCTCAGTGACCCCTGACCTACATACACAGGTGAATCCAATAATGAGAAAGAGTATTCAAGAGGGTCAATCGTCAATGTTCCCTCTAATTTTTCATGTGTCTGAGCGAACACACAAACCTCCTGAGCAGTTCCTTGGACCACTATGAGCGACATCAGACGTGTGCACTGTGGTTACACCAGCATTGAATCCATCCAAGTTACATGGTTTATTAAAATAATCAAATTACAGCATTTCGATTTATGTTCGACTACTTTTAATTAACTGCTTTAGCCCACTTACAATGAAAATGTAAAACAAAAATGTAGTCATTGACCTGTGTAGTATGTTAACACTACTGGAAGTAAAAAAAATAACTTGAACTCGAATTTTGAAAACACAACTTTCTTCTTCTCCTTTTTTTTCTATAAAGCTCTGACTTGTATTATGAGTATGAGTCTGTGGTCTGGGAGAGAGTCCTGTAACTCTGTCTGCAAAATACAGTATTTAAAGACCAATGTTGGACAATTAATTATATAGTTACTTCTTCAAAAAAGTAAAAAAATAATAATTTCTGTCCACTATGTGATAAAGGAGAACAACAGCCTGATACCTTCAGTCCTG